GACCGGCAGAGGAAAAAATCGTGCCGCCGACGTCAAGTTCGCCGTTTACGTTCATTAATTAACGCAGTTAAACAAGCACAAGTCACTAATTGGCGGGTAATTTGTATAGTAATAGTGACCCGAGCCTTGGGCGCGGAGAAATCGTGAAGGGGCGTCACCAAGGGGTGGCTTCGCTTCGCTGGATCTCACCGAAAAAACTCCGGGAAAGGAACGATTACGACGCGTCACGCCGACACAGAAGCGAAACAGACTTTGTGAGGCGAACCGACTCTTTGTGCGATGTCTTTAACGCGCTCGCGCGCGCGCGCGCGCGTGCGACAACCAGCTTCAATGCGACTACCACTGATTAAGAAATTAATTATTTTTTCAACTGAATTTAATTATCTTTTCGTTAGCCTCCTGGCGGCGTTTGTCTCGTTCGTTTTCAATGCTCGAACGAGCTACGACCATTAGGAACCTCTTTCACTGATACTTTTGTGATACTTGAAATTTTGCAATCTGTTTGGTTAAGGAAGTGAATGTTTGCTTGTTATTCCGGTGAAGTCTTGGGAAAGCAACGGCGGCCGTAAAAGCGTTAAAAGTTCCTGTCCATGGAAGGGTTGGTAAAGTAAATGTCAGGGATAGAGCGGGTTCCACGTGTTGTGCACCGTAGTCCGAAAATAGATTTCTTCGACGTAATGCATTGAACAGATCGTTCGAAAGCGACGATTGGTTTAGATGGAATTAGTCGCTGATGATCGTTTTAAGGAATTTCGAGTTTCGTATAAAGAAGTTCACGTTCGAGTAACTGTGGAAACGCACTTAATTTATTTATAAGAACAGAATATATCTGAACAGAATTTTAGAAGAAATAGCACCGATCGACGAATAAAAAAAGAACAATCTTCAAGAATAGTCTTCATATATATACATGCACACGTTCAATTATCAAACGGAACAATATCGTCGCAGACGGACAGAAGAAAATGGAAGGAGAGAGGGAGAGGTGTCAGTGGTAACGAAGAAGAGAGCCGTCTCTCGTATTCTCCGACATTACCAACGAATAAATAAGAAAAATACGAGAATTCTACAGGAACTGAAATGAAAGAAGAGAGGGAAAGACGTCGACGACGACGAAGAAGAAAGCAATCCTCGCGTTCTTCGATATCACCGAGGAACAAGTCGAGCGAGGGAAATGCGAGAATGACTTGACGCGACGACGATCGCGGGAAAAAACGAGAGAGCGAGGAGAGAGAGAGAGAGAGAAAGAGAGAAGGAGAGAGTAAGTAAGGGTAAGCGGAGGTTGCTACTTGTCCGGATATTTTTCCATTCTTTTCTCGATCTTTCTTTCCGGGGTCCCTATCCTCCTCACCCTTAAACGCACACAAGCACAGAGAAACGAGCCCCCCGATGGTGGAAGTATCCTAGAGTAGCAGGCCAGAATGGCAGCGAGAATGGCAGTCAGGTTGATCTTGCACTTTGGATCCCGAGGGGATGCAAAGAAGTACGGTTCAGCGGGAAAGCAACGAGTCGGTAGTGCTACACCACCGCGGCTTGTGTAACTCGCGAGGTCCCTGAATGCCTCGACAATGTGAGGCAACCGGTTCAAACCTTCGGGTCTTGGCCTTCGCTCGGTGCCTCTGGGAGCAATTTTTAAGATTGCTTCCGCCTGGCAGACTTGTACGCGGCTCATGAAACAGAAGATCGACCGAGGTTTCCACGCTCGTCGTCTCCGTCGTTTCCGCCGAAGCACGCACGCATCTACGAGTATTTCATTAAGCGGTGTTTTCACTCCACCCTTTTCCCTCCTTCGTGACAGTTTGTGCCCCGTTTACCACCTTTTGAAATCGACTCGACGAAGACAAGGCTTCGTTCGTTGGTATTGCGGAATTAAGTAACTACTCGCGAATCAGTCAGTTTACTGAGATCTCGGAATTGGTATTTAAAATGGTAACCATAGTCTTCTTTTTTCCCTCTTCTCTCGATTTATATGGTTGAGAAACTCTGTCTCTCTCGGTCTGGCAACGTCGACAAGTGGGCAAATTTTTAAGTAATCTGAGCCATCGATAAGACCGCACGAGCGAATGACACTCGAATGAAATAACGAACCGAAAGATCTCCCGCATGAGATGGAGTTCTCGGGGAGAACAAGATCGACGCTCGTCTGTATCGAACGCAATCCGAACCAACGGAAGAAAACAATGGGATCCTTGTGGCGCGTCGCGATCTATGGTTAGCGACCAGAAGAAAGGGCGAGTAGCGGAGTCAGGTGGCGGAGACGCGGCGAGAGCCTCTTCTCATTCGATCACTCCAGATTGGCTCTCTCGCCAATTAAGACAATTTCGCGCGCTCTTATCAGCAGTCAGTCAGAGAAGGTTGTGCACACGAGAGAGGAGAATTGAAAGAGGAGTGTGTGTCTCTGCAGAATCGTGTCCCGGCGCCCCTTCTCCCTCCCCACGGCAGGGAGGGAGGTTTCTCGTGTTCACTTTCTCCCTTCGTGGCCGCTCTCCCTTTCGCACGCTCTCACGTGTCACGCCGTGACACTCCTTCTCTCTTGCTCATTCTATTTCGCGCTCCGTCTCTCTATTTCAACCGTCTCCTTGAACCGTCACCGTCACCGGCACCGGCACCGGCACCGGCACCCACCCATCGGGGCCGAGCCGCCCCCGACTTCAGCCTCTCCGGAGGTAACGTGTATGTGTCACCTGCGTCTATAATCCTTACTCAACCACCCATCAACCGCATTCAAGCTCGTCGGATCGCCAAGTATAGGTTGAAATACGTACTGGGTAGGCAGACTGGGCTAGGTCTCGGCTGGGCTGGGCTCGGGCTGGGTTATGTACCTACGTAATACCGCATGGTAGATACCGTATATATATCCGCGAAGTGCCTAATTAAAACAGACACCAGGAGACAGAGAGAAAACGGGACGAGAGACGAGGCTGGCCGCATAATAGGGTGTAAGGGCGCGAGGGAGACGGCACTAGTTCCGTAGTCGGTTTGACAAAAAGCCCGAGTGCTAGAATTGCCACTCTTCGACCACCAAGTGCAGAGGAGAAGAGCAACCGTGAGCGAGAAGAAAGGAAAAGGAGCGAGAGGGAGGAATCGCGAGGAACGAAGAGAGAGTGAGAAAGACAGACAGAGAGAGAGAGAGAGAGAGAGAGAGAGAGAGTGTATGCCACCACCGTGAGGAAGATAGTGAGAGTAAGGGCTAGAGGGTGAGCCGCGGAGTCATTCATTATAGTATTGTATAATTAGGATAATAATAAGCTCTTCAGGGGCTTGGGTTTTCTTGCGCCCCGTTGCAACGGGGCGACGTCGAGAGAGACAGAGACAGAGCGTGAGAGACAGTGCGACAGAGACAAGAACGAAGACAGAGGAAAAGAGCGTGATCCTCCTGGAGGGTGCTGATTATTAGCATCTAATTACGAGCTGCCTTTGCCACCGAAAAAAAAGAGACAGAGAGAGAAGGAGGCAATAGCTAGAAAGAAGGCGAAGGTGCGGAGTGTCTTCGAGGAGAGAATAATTAACCATTGCCGCTAACGGAAATCGTTACCTCGCGTTTTTCGCGATCCTTAGCCTCGCGAGCAGGTATTCTTTCCCGAGGGAGAGAGACTTCTGCAGTATCTCCAGAAGTATCCTTCTTTCCCGTAATTTGTTCCATCCTTAACGAAGTTCGTTCGCAACACGTACGATTTAATAGACTTTGACCCTCGTGTCTCTTTGTTCTCACGATTTAAACGCGTACACGCATTGACGAGCGTCGAGACCACGTCGCTCTGTTTCCGCCCTTTTTCTCTTAGTTTCTCTCTCTTTTTTTTTTTTTTTTAATTTTAATATTCCCTTTCATGGGCGTTCGAACATTCGCGTTTATTCGCCACTTTGAATGAAACGCTTCTCTGCCGCTGGAGGATTCCTCGAGTCGCGCAGCCGATCCTTTCGGGCCGGGCTTCCATCGAGCACAAAGGGAAAACAGGATTGCGCACCGCGACAAACGTAAATTCGTCAATTTCTTTTTCGTAATGGTGGCGCGTCACATTGTAGCACAGGTGAAGCAACAATGCGAGCTTTAGAGGCGCCGCGTGTTGAAGCGTTTAATGGCAATGATGGCTGTCGACCTGACGCCTCCTTCATACGTCTTCATCGTCGCGGGTTGCTGTTTCGACGCGTCGCTTTTGTAACCGGGTTGCAACGCCATATAGGCAAGAGTACCAATTAAAAGGGGGAACATCAGCACTTGCCTGTGCTTTTTTCTTTTCTTTTCTTTTCCTTCCTTTTTTTTTTTTTTTAAATTTCGCGCTACTTTCTAACCACGATCTGATCGAATTATGAAAAAAACACGTGCACGTGCCATTCGAATTCTAATCGCCGTTGTGAAAAGATCTTTACGAATTAGTTGAGAATTTTCATCGACTTTGATGCACTAGTGAAACCCTCGTACTTACGAAGGGTCATATACATTCTTTTTATAAGGTAATACAATTTCATTAGTTATACACACGCGGACATTACTAATTCAGGATTATTATTGCCATTCATTGCGATACTCTTTGGTCGGTCGAAAACTTTACGTTCTATATTTATCGCTGAGAAGTTCTACAAATTTTATAATTTATCTCATAAAATGAAAACTGCAAATATTACATTCGTGGATACGATCGTCTTATTCTATCGCCTCTTATTCCTTTATCTTCTTTTTTTTCGTCTCCTTTCTTCTTAAGTTCCGCTTCGTTCTGAAACGTAAGCGTGCCATGAGATGACTTTCTTACCGCTGCTCCAAAGAAAACCTTATTTACATCGCGACTCGGCAAACAGGGGTGTAGAAGATACTAGGGGCGTGGAAAAGCGCGGCGAGAAATCGGCCGCGCGTTTCCAGACTGGCAAAGTGACTCGGGGCGTAACGACGACGAGCGTCTTCTCGCCTTACGCTGTTTCCCCCTCCCCCTTTCCCCTCGACCACCGTCTCGCTATTCAAAGATCCTCAATCGCGCTTCTTAAGCTTGCCAACCGGCTCCCTTTTAACGGTTATGCCAAGTCGGTCGACCTTCGACAATACTGAACACCTCGGCTCCCCAAGACCGGGGCTGACCCCTGAAAGTCTCTTTTCTCAACCCCTCGCGCGGCTTTCTTGCCAGAAACTTTCCCACGGGCGCGACTCCCTCTTCGAAGGGGAGAAGACGCTTAAGGAACGGCCGACAATCCGCCAAGATTCGCGAAGTGTCGGCTGCGGGCTCGATCACCTTGGAACCTTTTTTGTCCCTTCTGTGAAACAGCTGTTCTTGGGTAGGAATCGAGCAAACTTTCCGCAGCCTCCGAATCTACCTACCCCTCGGCTGAAGTTCGACACCCGTTTATCGAACCAATTTGTCGATTCGTTATTTATTGGCTCGTCGATCGTTGTAACATAGCGGTTTTGAAAATGCTTGTTATTTAATTTGTACGGAAAACACGAGATCAGTCGATAATCTGGTATCAGAGCGGAAAGATTTTTACAATAGAGTTAACGTTATAAACGACACGATTGCAAGCCTGTTTAATATAATCGAGATTCAACTACTAGTTTCAACTTTGACTGTTAGTGCGAACAAGAGCGAGAGCGTGTTGAAATACTACTTTGAATTAAAACGCGGGCTTTTAAATATTTTGTGACGTGCGCGTTCTTCATGAAAGGGAGAGAAGTTAAACAAGAGAGAGTTCTAAAGTTGCTTGCTCGCGGGGATCTTTCGGGCCCATTCCAGGACAAGCGGACAGTAAATTTCGTTCACTTGATCTTCGCGTGGGCGGCTAACTCGTCGCGTCCTTGTAAACCGTCCGCCGAAAAACTAAAGTTAGCGACTTGGCCGTGTTAAACCGGTGGGCACAATGAAAAGGGACAACGTCAGCTCCGGGGGCGTTTCCTTATTAGCAGCCTTCTTTTCACCTTGTAATTATCATCGGGCAGAAACGAATCCATTTATAAAATAGCGGCGCGTTCAGCACAATTACCAGAGGAACATCGCGGGCGCATTCAGCCGCCATCAGCGGAGATAAATTCACGCGTAGCCGCTTTGCGCGGTTGGCCGATGGCGTCGCAGTCAGATACTGGAAAAACCGTCTCGCGGACGCGCGCGAGACGAGAGGGTGCGGCAGAAGAAGCTCGCAAAGAATTCGAGAGGAACGTCGTGCCACGCGCTACTTTATCCTCACGGGTAACGGGCACGAGGCGTGAAAGTGCATATAACGAGAGAACATTAAGCGTCTGCGCGCGCTCGTAACCGGGCGCGCGCCTGTTTACGTGTTTGCGCGCGCGTTCCGGTTCCGTTCGTCTTGCTCGCGTACAGGGCG